TTCCCACAAGACTAATAAAAGTACAGACTCCTTCAATTTGAACTTGTCTCCTAATTTGTCAGTAGTAGTTGTCTTGGCAGCAATACGAAAAGAGGTCACCTTTGCCCTCTTCTAAAATGGTTTTCAATTTTCCAGTCTACTCTATAATCCTGACATTTTTTGATAGCTTCCCATATCATTACTAACCAGATCTGTTCTACTATCCAAGCTTGGATTGTTGGGATTAAACCAAAGTTAATTAGTATTGCATCTTCCAACCCTAAATAAATATTTAATTTTTGACTAGAAGAGTAATTCTGTTATTGGCTGAGCATAGGCCATCTTTCTATGTAATGTGTCTTGTCAGAGAATTGTGAATTCTTTGGGGGTGGGCAGTAGAAAACATAAAAAAACAGCATCAACTCATTTCTGAATAGATTTTTACATGTTGAAAAAGAGTCATGTTTGAGTAGCTTGGTGAAAAAGCTGATTTAGATATGCCAATTCATAGTAGAATGTCTGTCCCTTTGTAATATCTAATGGCACATTAGAAGTCCATGTTGTGAAGAGTTTATCCATCCAATTAGAAATTCCTGGCTCTTTAGATCAAGATGTTTTTCTTTCTTGGGGTTGGGTTGCAGAGGGGAAGGTGAGGGAAATGACTCTGACCAATATTAACTTTTTCAAAATTTATCCACAGTGCTTATGTTGCCAGAGAAAAAAGTGTTTCTATTTCTCAGTAATGTAAAAAGCAATTAGTTGAACAGAAATTGGCAATGGGTCATAGACAATTGAGCAGAAAAAGCAGTAATCTTTTTGAACAGGTTTATATGAGAGAAGTTGTAGCAATAGCTGTTAGAATATTTTGCTGTATGGTAGGCCATCTGTAGTTCCCACATCCCTTTTCTATAACCCATGGAGTTAAAGCAAGGGTCCCCAAAGCTGGCAGCTTTAAGACTTGTGGACTTCAACTCTGAGAATTCTCCAGCCAGCTATGCTATGCTTGCTGGAGAATTCTGGGAATTGAAGTCCATAAGTCTTAAAGCTGCCAAGTTTGAAGACCTCTGAGTTAGATGAAACTCTAGTTTAGAATTGCTGGAAATCAAGGATACAAACTCTCTGTTTTTTCAAAACATTGAAAGTGGTGGGAAGGACCAGTTGGTATGACGACATTCCTCACTCTACTCCATTCCCATTAGCACATCTGCTTTGATGACCCTTTCCTCCTGTCTGCTTGCTTCACCCACATAACCACAGCAGGTTCAGATTTTCCCCACCCTGTGGCTGGAGGAATGTTATTTTGCTGCCTAATGATACATCCTTATAAGAGGTTGTGTGTGTTTGGTTATGTTTCATACACAATTTCATTCCCAGCTGATGATTTTCTTATTCATCCTGTCCTGATTTTGGTTGGCCTTTAGTTTTGTAGGTTGTCTTTTTTTTCCATGCGGCTTCAATCTTGAGTGTTTATCTTTTTTTTCTTTTTTTTTAGGGAGAACAGGAATCGATTGACGCAGATCATGTTGCTAAAATCTCTCCTGCAGGTATGTGAAAGAGATGTTCCATTTTCATGTGAGGTTTGCAGAGGAAAAATAGATACCTCATTTGTATAAGAAATGATGTACCTTTTGGCCTACTAAAATTCACATGTCTGTAACCTTTAACTGGGCGAAATGGTGCATCATGGGACAAAACCTTCTGAACCGAGGAACCTCAAATGGGCTAACTTACAGAATGTGTCCAAAATCCAGGACCTCTGACTCCCATGCAATTGAAATTTTGGGGAGTTTATAAAATATTTATGGCATAACATCATAATCATAAATTTTAAATAAATACTAGTACATAATGTCATAAAATAATTCCTATGGTCAATTCTTGATGTTTGACTGCTACGCAGTTCAGCATGAAGTATTTTCGATACATCTGAATATCTCTCTGAATTTTAAAGAACTTTTCCAGTACATTAAAAGCTCTGCCTTTGTTGGAGGCAATGAGGAATCTAGTAAGGAAATATTTCTGAAACAATGACCCAAGGAGTCATGGTTTTTCTAATAACACATTAAAACTAAACTAGGGTTAACAAAAGGCAGTTACTCTATTTCTACAACTTGCTGTGCCTACCACTTTTCTCCCACATGCTAAACTACAAATCATCCAATGCCATTTTAACCTAGACTAACATGTGAAACCAACCATGGCATGGCTAGTCTAGTGAAGAGAAGGACCAGGGGAGACACGATAGCAGTGTTCCAATATTTGAGGGGCTGCCACAGAGAGGAAGGGGTCAAGCTATTTCCCAAGGCACCCGAAGGCCAGACAAGGAATAATGGATGGAAACTGATCAAGGAGAGATTCAACCTGGAAAGGAGAAATTTTCTGACAGTGAGAGCAATCAACCAATCGAACAGCTTGCCTTCAGAAGTTGTGGGAGCTTCATCACTGGAGGCCTTCAAGAAGAGATTGGATTACCATTTATCAGAAATGGTGGGTCTCCTGCTTGGGCGGGGGGTTGGACTGGATGACCTACAAGGTCCCTTCCAACTCTGTTAATCTAATCTAATCTATTTCCGACACACAAATTAAATCTAGACAAATTAAGACTTTGAAAAAGAAATTAGGAAGAATGGGAGAAGGTTGTTTTAGCAATATCTTGGCTGCTCTAGCTGTCATTATTATTGAGTGCATTGCGAACAAGCTGCTGAGTATTGATTAATGGAGAGGCTCTCTATGGAACCTGCAGGTTTCCACTGGTTTCCAGTGCAGTAACATGCTCACAGCCCTTCCCAGCTCCTTCCTGGACAGGCTCTTGTCAGCTACGTTAATGGACGATGCAGAGATTCGCCTTTTTGTTCTGCAGATTCTCATCAGCTTCATTGATCGCCATGCAAATAAGCACAAATTCCAGACAATCAGGTTTGCGGTCCATTTTTTTTTCTTGTGATAGAGAGGAGATGTTATATGAGATGGGAAAGTATCATAGATAATTTTGCTACAAACCATGTGAATACATATTGCTCTCCTTCTGTCTTCCTAAGTAGAAACTGCTTGATATCCTGTTTGCTGTTGCGATGGCCTTCTAGCAAGTCTAAAGATTGTGGCATTTATTTGAACCAAAGATTCATTCAGCAATTCTGAAAGCACAGATTAAATATAGCTGTATCAGAAAGAATAGAAATATATGCAAAGAATATTTATGCAAAAAGATTTTTTCTTCTTCCCTAATATTGCTCAGTGGTAGAATTTCCCTTGAAATGCTTTTTCATCATGATTGGCCAAATGAACAATGCTGTCAATTGGTAATCACATAATAACATTGTGACTATATGCTGTCATTCTTCCACATTGTCTACATGATGATGGTGGTGGTGTGGAGAGCACCACACATATTTGTCCCAGTTACATAGATAAGAATTGTTTTGCAGTTGTTGTTCTGAATTAAAATTCATGAGGGATTAAGGCTATGACTTATTTTGAAATACATGTATCCTTCCTTCACAGGGTTTATTATATAATTTGCTGGAAATTTGCTTTGATTGATAACACCACTGTAATTTTACCATTCCCTTTGATGATTAGAAAGGGTAGACTATGGAAAGAAAAAAAAATGTTGTAGCATTAGAGAAGGTAAAATATAAATGAATTTTTATGTTAAGGAGACTGGAAGCTGCTTCTTTACGAGTTTTTCATTCTATTCCTTTCCTTTCTCTATTTCTTTCTTTGTTTTTTCAGTAATTACTTTTCTTACTTTTAATACTTTATTTACTTTTAATAATTATCAGTAGTTTATTTATTTAATTTATATTGTTCCTATTCTGTTAAAATTTTCCTTGATAAAAAAAATTATACATAAAAATGCCATTCCACCACTCCTTGAAATATCCTGCGAGGTGCTAAAAAGGAGGAGAGATGGACAATCTTCTCCACCCTTTTGTTATGGCCTGCTTCCATGTACACACATCCCTATTTAATTTTTTCTCATTTTTTTTTTCTGCACAGCACTATCAGTGATATCTCCATCCTGAAGCTGAAAGTGGACAAATGTTCACGCCAAGATACTGTCTTCATGAAAAAGGTATTGAGGGCTTGCCAAATACTGTTAAAAAAAGATAGGGATTGATTGGTTGTAGTCACCAGCAGTAGGGATGTCAATCTCGATTTCATTGAGGGCGGCATCAGGGTTGTGTTTGACTGTAGGGAGGTGTGGCCAGGGGAGCGTGACTAGCTCGATGTCACTTGTGTCACAACGGCCTCCTGAAGCCCTCTGCCAGCGAAAACAGAGCTCGGGAGGCTGCATCAAGGGTGAAATGCTCCCGGATCGGACCGGATCGCCTGATCCGGTAGCGATCTTGGCCGATGGTTCCGCGATCTGGTAGCGATGGCAGAGCAAAGCTCCACCCACCTGCCTGGATGTCATTACTTCCTGGTTTTAACCAGCAACTAATGTGTTTTTTAGCTTCTGTGCATGCACAGAAGGTTTTGTGCATGCGTAGAAGGTCTGTGCGCGCATGTGATGCACACGCGCGAGCAAAGCTTCCGAACTGGTAAGGAAGGTAAGTAGATTTCACCCCTGGGCTGCATGCACCACCACCCCTGAGTTTCCTTTTCGCTGGTAGAGGGCTGCAGGAGGCTGTCGCGGCCGAAAACAGCTCGGGAGGGCCACGCATGCCCCCCCTCCCCCGAGCTCCATTTTCACCGGCAGAGGCACCATGGGCTGGTCCCTTGCTGTATCCAGGATGGCCCTGTGGGCCAGATCTAAGCACCCCTTGGGCTGGATCCGGCCCTGCCTTGAGTTTGACACCCCTGTGCTAAAGTAATGTAAAAGCGCTGCCTTCAATACTTCAATGAAATGGCAACCTCCTTAATATAAGCTATGTTATATTTGTTCACAGCACTCCCAGCAGCTGTATCGACACATGTATTTCACTTGCAAGGAAGACAATAACGGTCGTACTCACTATGAGGCTGTCTACAGTCTACTGGCACTCATCAGCATTGAACTGGCCAATGAAGAGGTGGTAGTGGACCTCATCCGGTTGGTTTTGGCCATACAGGTATGTGCGGGCTGACGAATCTTTCATCTCCCTAGCAGGAAGGATAGAAAGGAACTTCCAAGGAAGACAAGATTATATCTCAGGTGGCAAATCACAAACAGGTTTATAAGGGCTACTACTAAACTTAAATATGGAAGTCTGTAGAGATTCTCTGTCATCCAAGTCATGGTTGTCCCAAAGGTGCTTTTTTCAGGAGGCAAGTGGACCTCCTTGTTTTTTCTTTTGAAGCCGTTTCGCTTCTCATCCAAGAAGCTTCAGCTCAGACAGAATAGTGGGGAATAGAAGGATTTATATTCCTTGCTCATTTTAGCTATACAGTTTGGGATGAACACCCTTTGAATGGTGTGGGAGTAGGAATGGATTTCCAGAGGGAAAAAATTGCAGACTACAGCACTACTCAGGTGATCCTGAGGACACAGACAAATCTCCAAGAAGCCTCAACAACTCTCTAAAAGGATGCAGATGACCATCTGTCTGCAAGGAATATAAATCCTTGCATTCTCACTATCCTGTCAGAGTTGAAGAAGCTTCTTGGATGAGAAGCAAAACATCTTCAAAAGAAAAAACAAGGAAGTCCAGTTGCCTCCTGAAAAAGCACCTTTGGGTTAGATATGGAAGGTGACTCTGTTTTGGAGATACCTAGGAAATACTCTTATAAAATTTATTAGCAATAACTTAGAAGCCTGTCCTTTCACTAGCATTATTAAGTGGTGGTGCAGTGGTTAGAATGCAAACTAACTCTGCCCACTGCCAGGAGTTCGATCCTAACCAACTCAAGTTTGACTCGGCCTTCCATTTTCCGAGGTCATTAAATGAGGATCCAGATCGTTGGGGGCAATATGCTGATATTGTAAACCACTCAGAGAGTGCTATAAAGCACTGTGTAGTGGTATATAAGTGTAAGTGCTAGTGCTAATGCTAATAGCCTTAAAAAGCTGTTCCAGAATTTTTAAACAATGAAAAACTATTCCTATTCAAATGCTAACAGTGACACTGAGATCAGCAAAACAATTTATATTTCTTTTACAATTTGTTCCTGTTCCAGACTTTCCCTTAATTAAGCAAACGTGTACCTCACACACAGTAATGGGTACCCCTAGGTTTGTACAAGTAACATCTTTTTTGTGCAAGGCTTCCACTTTCTTTCCACCGGCAATTCAAGGTGTTAGTTAAAGCATACCACATGGCAATGGAATATGACCCAAGGCCAGGTTACCTGCAGGACCGCCTTTCTCTACCAGGTCAGATAGGGTGGGCGCATTTACTTGGCCCTTCCCCGAAATATTGCCATCTGATGGGAGCTAAGAAGTGTTCCTTTTCTGTGGCAGTCCCTGTGTCAGCATTCTGATGCTGCCATAAAAAGGAGGAGACGAGGCTTGACTTTTCACCTACTTATTTTCTCTGTAGATAATATCCCCTAGGAGATGGGATGGGAGGGAGGACATTCCTGTGGGGTGAGGTCAGAAGCTGGGGAGACTGACTTGGAAGATGGCCAATGAGAAGATGAGAATTGGGGAATGGAAAGGGAAGGGTTTGGGGGTCAGAGGGTTAATATCGGCTACGACGAAGTCGGGGCCAGATCTGTCGTACTCAATAAATGGAATATTTCAGCAAAGATTAATTGTTTGGGAGTGCAATTTATTTGAGATGACATCGAAACCTGATACCCTGCCCTATAGAACAGGGGTCTCCAACCTTGGCAAGTTTAAGACTTATGGACTTTAACTCCCAGAATTCCTCAGCCAGCTCTCCAAAGTTGGCTGAGGAATTCTTGGAGTTGAAGTCCACAAGTCTTAAACTTGCCAAGGTTGGAGACCCCTGTTCTATAGAACACTCTACCCCCTGAAGTTCAGCAGGCTTCGACCCTCCTAGCCTTCCATTAGGCTTTGAAGACTTGGCTTTTCTCCTAAGCACTGAGATAAGATTGGATGACTGCACATTAGAAGTTTGACTTGGTGCCGGGTTTTTGTTGTTTTTAATGTTTCAATGTGTTTAGATTTATAGTTTTAATATGGTTTTACATGTTGCTTTAACTTCTGATTGAGAGCCACCCAGAATTAATTAGAAGATGGGTGGCTATATAAATCTTTTAAATAAATAAATATTTAACTATCCCATATGCCACACACCCATATTTACTCTTCTTCACATTGTACTTGGACTCCATCTGGTTATTGGAGATTTACTTATTTAATGCAATTTAATACAATTTAGAGGCTGCCTGAATCTATATTACTCTGGCTGGCTTCTGTTTTTTAAAAGTAGGAAGAATTTAAAAAGAAACCAATCGCTAGCATCCAGTGTGGGAAGAGGTCAAGTATGCATGTTTTTTTTTACCCCAGCCCTTTTTGGATTCATCAGATTCCTTGAAGAAGCAATTTGCAAGAGTTTTTTGCATGTACTTTATATAAGGAGTTGGATCTGTTATATAATTTGTGCCAATTACTGTAAAATGCTCTTGAATGCTAACAATATATTGTAATTTGAACCACAAAGATAAAGCATGTGAATTTCAAAAAAGAAAAAGAAAATATTTAATAAATAAGGGTAGTTGGGGCAGTTTTGATCTGTTAAAATAAAGTTGATGAAGGCATTAATCTAATGCATGCTCAGATTCAATAATGATTGTACCCACAGAACTAGACTTGTAGGGATCTCAACCATCTCTCTCTTCTGGGACTACACACCTCAGCTCCTTAGTGTTGTCATCACTTGTCTACTAGAAGATATCCTCGTGTGTGAGCTAGGGATCCAGAGTCCTTGTGCTTTACTGGAAAGTAAAAAAACCAAATGATATATTACAGACACTCCTTGTTTTGTGACCACAATTGTGACTGGCAGTATCATTAAGCAAAGCAGTTGCTATTTGAAACCATCACTGGGTTTATGACCTTACTTCAACTTTCCTTTGCTTTACAAACGTGCAAAGGTCATAAATGCAAGGACTGACTGGTCACAAAGTTACTTTTTCTTCACCATCATAACTATGAGCAGTCACTAAATGAGGACTATCTGTAATAAAAAGGAAATAGATTTTATAGCGCCACTCCTAGCCCTATATGTACCTGGGAAACACAGCCCCTTTGCTTTGAAAGAGAGATCAATCCCATCACAAGCACAAAATCCAAAAATGGTTTCCAAATGAAAACAAAATTAGATATGTTCTTTTCTTCAAATAAAGCAATCGGTTTGACCATTTCTACTTTTTTTTCTTGCTGTGGAAAATAGTATATATTTCTTTTTGCACTTACTAATCTTTATAGACTATCATCATTTATGTTGCCAAAATTCAATATACTCTTTCAAATTCTTAAACCTTAAAGGCAAAAAACTTTTTCTGATAAATTAATTTAAAAAATGATACCGAAAGAGAGATCAATCCAAATAATAAATAGAAACAGAATTAAATATAAATGTGCACGTCATATGAAAAGTGATCTTATGCAATACTTCCATCTAATTTTTATCCATCCTTTCAAAGGTAACATTTTTTCTGAAACAGATTTTCCTCCATTCTTCTCGGACCCTCCAGGATTTAGGCCAGTTAATTCTGAGGCTATTCCCAACTACTCTCTTGGTTTTAAAAAAAGATATATTTTTTTCTTTCTCTCTGGTGGAATTTGCGTGATTGGCTTTATATACCTTCAGGCTCTGATGCCGATACAGATTCAGTGTTCAAGATGAGTGAATGTAGACTGAAACTCAGATGTGTCTGGCTGTCAGTGAACATGGGGGTTGGGGGAGCTTGCTTGTCCTTTCACTAACAAGGCTGCTGTCCTGTTGGCAGGAACTGGCCCTGGTGAACGAGGATAACCTGCCCTTGTACAGCCGCTGTGCCCTGTACGCCCTTGGAGCTGCCTACCTGAACCTGATCAGCCAGCTGACCACGGTGCCTGCCTTTTGCCAGCATATTCATGAGGTCTGCCACTTGTCCTTACCTTTGCTTATCTTTCCTTAACCTGTTGTTGTTTTTCTACCAGGAAACTTCCTTCAGCTTGGTCCAAATAGAGTGGATGACAATTCTACCCTGTTTTCCCGAAAATAAGACATCCCCTGATAATAACCCCAGTCAGGCTTTTGAGCACATGTGCTAAAATAAGCCCCCCCCCCCAAAAAAAGTAAGCCCTCCCCGAAAATATTTAAACACATGCGCAGCCGGTTCTTGCCATTTCCTCTGTTTAGGGTTAGGGAGACAGAGCTGGAAATCAGGTAAGACAGCAAGAGGATCCCAGTCTTGCTCCACATGCCCCAAAATAAGACCTCCCTGAAAATAAGGCCAAGCGCTTATTTCGGGTTTCAAAAAAATATAAGACAGGGTCTTATTTTCAGGGAAACACGGTAGGAGTTACAGTCCAAAACATTTGGAGCACACAGAATCATAAGAATATGAAGTCCCTGCACTCCATACTCTGTAAAAACCAGCGGGATTTTTAGGGAACCCTCAAACACGACTTTCCCTGTTGTGATGCCCAGCCATGTTAGATGAATTACCTACAGCCTCAAAGTACTCACATGTATGAGACATTTCTGAACTAAACCCATCCAGCCAAAGCCTCGCTGGACATTTCCTGAAAAGTGTGATTGTCTTTTTTCTGTATCTCTTCTTAATATATTATGATGCAGAATCATCACACTAAGTGGTTTCCTGCCATTGCATTGCATCATTGCCCGTCTCATATGTAAGAAAGAGATTCTGAAGCACCAACTTTTATCAACTTTCAGCTAAATGTGATTAAGGACTGTGTGTACAGGTGGTTTTTATCAACAACTGCATATTGGAAATTGTTACTGGGCTCCCAGATTTGATATACTGAGAACTCAATTTGCTAACCCAGTAGTACTAAACAAGAGATTCCTGAATAGCAGTGCTGTCCTGACTCTAATTCATTCTGTGCATCTCTTAGCAATGATGGCATCCAGTAGTATTTAGACAAACATTAGAAACTAATGTTGATGACATCACAATCAGTTGTACCTGTGGTTATGTCACAATACCTGCTCATACTGTACTTACCATGGCCATAGCTCTGAGCAACCCAGAGCAAGGGAGCTTATTAGGGCTGCCAGGCAGAGCATCCAAAGATAATACTGATAACTGATTAGATAAAATCTGATATTTTTTTTACAGTGGGAACTGACCACACCAAGTTGGTAAGAAAAAGTCTTGCATTTTTCTTCTCTCCAGGTTATAGAAATGAGGAAAAAGGAGGCTCCCTACTTACTCCCTGAAGGTGTCTTTGTAGAGAAACCCAGGTATGAGAGCCGTTGTTAGTTCAAAACATGTTGATTATATCCCTACTATAATTTAGATTAGTGCTTTTCAACCTCAGCAATTTTAAGATGTATGGGCTTCAGCTTCCATAATTGACTTGCTGGCTGGAGGAATTCTGAGAGTGGGTCTGCACCACATTGATAATATTGAGAAACCTTAGTTTAGACAATGATGCTTTGAACAAGTGGGCTTTTCAACCCGCTTAATTATCCCATCATTTGCCTTCAGCTCTGTTTTTCACATGTGTCCTTCCTTCCCTGGAGACCAATTGCTGGGTAATATGGGTACCTGGGGAGTCATTGGGACAGTCATGTATTGTTTCTCTTGTTTTGACCCAAAGGTTGTCACGGAACCTGGATCACCTTGGCCCCGAGATTCTCTTCCGGCAGAGCAAGATCAGTGAAGTGCTGGGAGGGAGTGGCTACAATTCAGATAGACTCAGCACACCTTACATCCCTCAGCTGACAGGTATGAGGGCAACGGGTCATATATTTTCTCTACTCAAGAATTTTATCATTATTTTTAGAATCAATTTCTGTTGTGTTTTGACTTAAAAGTATTCCAAAGAGCCAAACTGATGATGGCTGATTCTTCATTGTGGTCTTTGTGTTTCATACAGCTGGGCTTTGCACTCAAACACAGCTTTGTGTTTCATTTATCCCTCTCGACTTTAATGTACTTGCTGAAGGAATAGCCTTCTGCTATCTCCAAATCTAGGAGGCCCTAGCATCTTCGGCTACTTGGTCTTGATAGGATTGAATCAGAGACAGTTCCTTTCCAGCCAGGCCCACATAACCTCTAAACATTAGAATAGAACCTCAACAGCCTCATTTGGCCCGCCTAACATTGGCACATATAATTAATGAAATCTCAAACTGGCATATATCATCTCACCCAGCCATTCCCTGTACATATTGAATAAAAGGTGAGAAAGAATTGCCCTGTGGTAATCTGCAAAGGAGGGACCCAGGGAGTGGCCTTTTTCCACCCCCTCCCCCAACTGTGTGAAGCACAGAGAAACACAACAATGAAGATTGCTTTCTGTAATTCTGGTTCTTCAAGAATAAGAACCAGAGTTCTTATAATGAGCTGCGGTGGCACAGTGGTTAGAATGAAGTAGTGCAGGCTACTTCTGCTGCCTGCTGGCTGCCTGCACTTTAACAGTTCGAATCTCACCAGACTCAAGGTTGACTCAGCCTTCTATCCTTCCAAGGTCAGTAAAATGAGGACCCAGATTGTTGCGGGCAATATGCTGACTCTGTAAACCCCTTAGAGAGAGCTGTAAAGCACTGTGAAGCGGTATATAAGTTAACATATAAGTTAACAGAATAAAACATATTTTATTCTGCTATGATAACAGAATAAAAAAATTGGAAGGGACCTTGGAGATCGTCAAGCCTTCTAGATTTCTAGACTAGTCTCCAGGTTGTAGAAGTCATCTGTGTGTTTACACAACCCACTCTATCAACCACGGCTTCTTGATGGAAAATTAGCGAGCTGAATTCAATTCCTTGCATTTGCCCAACATCTGAAGAGAGGACGAGAGGCTTTTTAGCTAGTACAATGAAATGAAGATTGTCTTTTCCTGCTTAAGACTTAGAAGCATTCCAGAAAATGCTTTTTGAAGGCACAGAATTCAATTATGCGGCCTACTTGAAAAACTGCAGTTAAGAAAAACAAACTCTACTCCTTCTATATGTAATAGAGCACTTCAGGACTAGCAAAAACCAGAAATAAACCTATGCAGACCAGCAATTTTGGATAAATTATGCGATGTGTTCATTTTGCTTCATCCAGCGTTATTTATTGTGCAGGATTTGAGTTGCACAGCAACATTGCTTTATTTTTAACTCTTACATTTACAGGGTACCCATTGCCATTCTTTCTTACCCATATTTAACTGAACATTTGCAATTTTCCTCTTATAGTTTTCTAAACTCTGTGGGTCTCTCACCCAAACAGGAAAAAAAAAAGTGAAACAAAGTTGTATGGTCCATCAGCCTCAAGAACTATGTGTTGTTGCTTTAGAGTGTGATATTTATCTTACTGGGAGGGGCACAGATCTGAGAATAGGCAAGGATTGGAAAGTCATTGTCCCTTTGGATTCATCCAGCACATACTAGTTTAGAAGCAACGTTCATGGCTGTTTTGCACAGTCACACTTGTTCTTATGTAAACATTGGTTCAGATTTGGAGGGAAATATCCTCAAGGGTTTGTAATTTTGCCAACAGATAAGCCATTCTGAAAGCAAGGTATGCTGGAAAACTTCAAGGAAAATTGAGGACTTTATAATCATAACTAATTCCCTAAAGCAAAGCACTTGCCTTGGCTTTAAAATTAGTTATTATTATTATTACAAAACCATGGCACCTTTCATGGTCACAAGTTATCCTATCTTTCAGGAGTGTTCTGTGCTTGTAAACTTCCTGATTGCTTTTGCTTAAAACAGTCCTCTGAGTGGTCTCGGTGATACAACGAACATGTCACAGTATTTTTGAATTAAAGGATTACAAGTAAAAGGGCTAGGAAATAAAAGCAAGATCTCTTTGTCATGGAAATCCATGTGCAATGCCACAATTTAAATGTTAGCAGCCCCTTCACTATAACTATTTTGGCTGCCATTGTAGCCAAGAATCTCAAAGATAGCAGACCCAGGAAGCTGGACTAAGAGGAATCAGTATGCGACTCCTTGATTGGATTCACGCAACATGCCAAACTAAGCAAAAATTGGATTAGTTAATGATTCAGTCTATTGAGGGAACTCATTATCTTAGTATTTTATGTGAAATGGGCTACGGTGTTGAGTTGTAAAATGGTTTGTGCTATTGCATAATAGATGTTCAAAAGAAACACACCAATTGTGTTTTGTTAACTCATATTAAGAGTTTAGCATGTTGTGGAAATCCAGTCTCTCTAAGGCAGGATGTGTTTATTTATCGATCACTGTCACAGGACTATTTGAGGAAACCAGGGCCAAATAATTCCTCTCGCATTATCATTCCCTACAAAATGCTAGACACATAACCTTTCCAGCTGGGAAAGAAAATGATTTTATCTCCCTTTCTCCTTTTAGATGAAGACAGGCTGTCTAAGAGGAGGAGTATTGGAGAGACCATCTCTCTACAAGTTGAAGTGGAATCCAGAAATAGCCCTGAGAAAGAAGAGGTATGCCATTCTCAATGTTCCCTTTTTTGGCTAGGCTCAGCAAACATAAATTGAATGAGAAATGGATGGTTGGGAACTTATTACCAGCCCTGTGAGGTTCTCTTTGCTTTATTCTGAACTTCTCTTCCCAACATCATACTTTTTGAGATGCTATTTTATTTTATATCTATCATGGAGCAGTATTTTAAAGACCTAATGATATTATGTACTGGTTTATTGGATTCATTTGTCCAAACAATAAGAAATGGAGGGCTTTAAAATGGATAATCTGTAATAGGACCTTGATTGGGAAACGGTTTACTTCATCCCATATGTTTGTTCATTGGTTAGTTCTGTTGTGTTCCAGACTACATTATGTTGAATTAGATTTCCAAGTTCAAATTTTTAAGGCAATATGAATTGCATCCCAGGTACCAAAGGAACATGGACGGTGTTGGTAAATCCCTATTTATTATCTTTGGAAATTCTGTAGAATACAGGATGATTACAAGAGGGACTAATGTTCCTAATTTTAGCAGGAGAGCAACCTGGGAAAACTCTAAAACAGATCATAACCTATAAGAGATTAAGTGTGTAAGGATCTTGAAAAAGGTACAGTGTTTACAAGAAATTAACCTGAATATGCACTGCTTATAACAATAAGCAATGTCAATTATCTTTTTTGTAAAGTAATATTCATAGTGAGAACACTATGAACATAATACAGTATAGCTTGAGTTCATTTCTTTGCTCAAACATTGCATTGCTCAACAGGGGTTGCACTACTCTTGCAGTATTCTTCAACAGTTTCGTTAATAACTTGCTTAGTTTGTAGATTAGTGAAAACTTGGTGGAATGCCTGATATTTCAGATGACAAAAACAACATTCAAAATTATTTCAAAAGGCTAAGGAAGAGAACTGAATAAAATTTAATAGATAAAAATCCAGAATTTTTCACTTCCTTAAGTGAAGAATGCACTCAAACTCAAATGCACAGGGGTAGATTCAGGTTATACCCATGAACATTCTAAGAGGTTGCACAAATGTCAAAATGAGCATTACAGTGTATCATGACACCCTCCGTGCCTTTTGTATATATGTCATATTACTGCACATTCATAAAGGCAGATCTTACCTTGTAACATCACAACACTTGTTTTGTCGATGAAACTATTGAATTTTCCATAAATCTAGT